GGGGCCGGGCCGTGCCGGCGGCGCGCGGTCTCCGCCCGGGCGCGGTGTCCCCACGGCCGGGTCGCGGGGCTGGGGCTGCTGCCGGCGCGCCTCGCGTGCGGGGCTTCCGGCAGCGCGATGCCTGGAGGGGGAACTGGCGAGGGTGCCTGCCCGGCGCTGGGAAGGAGCTCCCGAGCGGCCGGGGCAGGTCTGTGCCCACGCGTTCGGCCGCTCGGCTGCGTTACTCGGGGCCGTGCGGGTAACAACAATAACGGTGTCTGACGGCTGCCGGCACACGAGAGCGGCTGAAGGAGGCCACGGAGCCGCAGCTTTATCGCACAGCAGTATTTTCGCTCTTCCTTAGCGAAGAGCGGTGAGCGCAGGTGCTGTGCGGGAGCTGAAGGGCCGCTGTGCACAGGTGAGCGATGGGGGGACCGGGTTCCTCTGCGGGGACACGCGGGTCCTGGCACCTGGGAGAGCACCGGAGTGAAAACTCATCTCAGGAGCATCCTGGTTGTATGTGGAAGGAGGTTGTGTGGAGGAAGGGTAGAGCTGGAAAGTTAGGAAAATAAATCTGGAGTGAGAGCTACTGAAGTCAACATAGGAGGAGAACTACTTGTACGTTCATCAGATGTTTGCCAAATAGTTTTGAACTAATGAGCTGCCTTACTAGTGAAAAAATAAAACAGAATCAGATGTCTCAATAAATACCATTGTACTATTTATCTCAAGAACCATTAGGATATTACTGAGTAGATATTTTTAAAGTCATCAAGACTAAGGCAGTTTTTTTCTAGCTGATCAAAAGTGACTCTGCTAATTTGCTTTTATATTGCTTATACTAATATCTCTTTTCTGCTATTTCTCAGGTTTTTCATAACTGTCTAAATTATGAGTTGTCATTATACATATTTTTTTTCTCTTGCCTAGAATGAGACTTTTCATTTGAAGGGCTTAAGAGAATACATGTTTCAGAACGAGTTTATGGAAAAACTGACTTGAGAGAGTAGTAGGATTGTGAAAAAGAGCTTCCAGCTCATTCTTTGAGCTATGGAATTGTAGCATCAGGTAGGCACAAGAACCACACATAGGAAGTTGGAAGCAATGAGTTTATATAAGATTTCTGGCAGCAGATTCTTTTATTAGGAAAACTGTTCTCATGTGTATTACAGCCATTTCTAGTATTTTTGTAAAAACTACTCCATACATTTTTTCCACTAGTTGCATTGATTCCCAATGTTTTGGGATGTGTCATCCTTCTCTAAATCACATGGAGTCTGCCTTTCATTTCCTCCAGCTAAAGATCCCGTGGGTGTGGTTGTTTGATTTCTGGGTTCTTCAGATCCTGCAGAAGAGTAATTGTGCATTTGAGTGAGGGCTAGATGTGCTTGGAAAAATCTTCCTTCATGCTGAACTTTTCTTCATAAGTAACGCTCTTGTTTCCTCTTTGTTGCATCATTCCCAGTAGGGGAGAGTAGAAATGCCAATTTGGGTGCTTATGGGTACTCTGGCTGCTGCTTTTTTGACATTTCCATTATTGCTGCTCTTTAAAGCTGAAGTAGTAGTGGATTTTCAGAAATTGTCTCTGTATATGCAGAGTTCACTGGGCTTCTGGGTATGTCC